AAGTTGTACATTTCTAGGGATGAGCATGAAAATAATTTGTTTCCTTCTTTGAATTACCTAGTAGACTAGGTAACATGGAAGTTTTAAAGACTCATTAGCTAGCTCTAGAATTAAATTGGCTTTTTCTTTTTGTGAAGAGGTACTGTAAATTTTATGGCTTATTATATTTTTCTTGAATAAAAGGAAGAGTTAAGAAATATGAGAAATCATTAGTGCTTCACTATACTGCACTCTATTGGTATTATTTGGTAATAAAAATATGTTTATATTATTGTATGTGGATATGGGTTTTATTTATTTTTATTTTTCCTTTTTTGACTATCACTTTTGTGGGAAAACAATTTAAGAAAGGCAAAAACCTGAGGTTTAGAAATATATTAATATTTGACACCATGTAGGGAAAATAAATAAAAATGGACTTTTTATTTTAATGAAGTACAAAAATCAAGTGGGTACATTTACTGGATACGAATAACTGCTCTGAACACTCGTGAACATTCACACTTGGTCAGATCAGTTTCTTAGTCATAACGATACAAGGGCAGACTTTGCATTCTAAACATGTGAAAATATGAGTCCGATTCTGATCTTAAGTGGGCAATGATCTATGATTTTCTGCCTCTTTTCTTACATTATTGACTTCAGAATATCCCCAGGCACTGAAAATTAGTGGACAATAAAACTTGTTTTATCTACTGACCTACAGTAGAGATAAGGTTTTCCTTTGAAGAATTAGTAAACAAGCCAGTCATATACCAGCATGGAAAACAAATTATTTATTCTTTGATTATTACCTGAAGTTATAAATCCAGTTTTCACACCTAGATGTACATTGGTAATTTAAAAAAAATGTTTAGTCTTGACATGTAGAAATTTCCATGATATAAAAATTCAACCTATCTAGAATGATACTATTTTAGACAGTATTAAGACTCGGATCTTAGCATGATCATATATTTTTCCTTGGATCTTTTTCTTTATGGATGTCTGTACAAAATCTAACCTCTAGAATGAAGGAGTAGAGAAGGTTGACTTGTATGATTTTCTTGCACTATTGCAAAAGTGTGATGAATTGTTCTAACTCTGTGTAAATTAACATAGGGTTTCCACACTTCAGTTTATTACAGTCTGACCTCAACCCAGAGGTCGGAGAATCAGTCTGATTAATTCAACTTCTTGGTCATTACTTCAAATGGTGGGATAATTGGTTAGGCTGATACTCTCCTTTAATTACCCCTCATTGTTAAAAAAAATTAGGTTAGCCATAGTAGATGTCTTACAATGAAGAAAGACTGTATGCCATCTTAAATGTTTTATAGATGACTTTTTTTCTTGCGTTTTTTATTTTCAGAATATCAACACCTTTGAGAACAGAATGTTAATGCTTGATGGGATGCCGGCAGTTAGAGTCAAGACAGAGCTGTTGGAATCTGAACAAGGGGTAAGCAGATGTTTTCAGACCATTCCCTTTCCCCATCCTCCTGTATTTTCAGAGCATTTTGAGGCAGAACACTTAGACTTTTGCCCTTGCCAAAGCTTTCGTCTTTTGAGAAAATTCCTTCAAGATTGACTGATTTTCAACCAAATATTACTCACTTGGAAAGGATAACTTTCTAAAATTAGGCTGTTGAAATGACCCTATTACGAATGTATGACTGTATTTAAATTGGTGCATGATTTGAAAAGATAATAAAAATCTAACACAAAGGGGAAGTGTTGATATATTAAATGGGAACATAACCTTATTATCAACATACCTTGATTCTTGGTGAATTTGGAAATTAGTGTTACAAATGTAGAACTGTTATTTTTGTTGTTCAATTAATTTCTCTTTTGACATTTCTATTTACCTTTTTTCACTCTATAAAGAGTAGGGGATAGTTGATGTAATTAAAGTTAGTGAATTTTAAAAGTTCATAAAAGCAAAAGACTGGAAACCAGACCTACTGGGTACATACAAAGAGACTTGAGTTGCTCCTGACTCTGCTGTCTGGAAACAAGTTTTAAGCTTTAAACCAAAACCATGCCATGAAGTCATCTTTAAACTAAATAACACTAGTTCATTTAATAAGAAATGTTCATCTTGAACATTGTCCTCTTTTCAAGAAATATCTACATGAGATCAAAAGGAAAACAGTAAATCTAAACATAAGCAAAAACTTAAAGTGGCACAGTGTGATGCTTGTGTTGTTACATATTATATATGTAAAAATTGTTGACTAGATGTATGTTTTGTTACATATATTTTCACCAAAAAAAATAAAGGTTCTTAAACACTACTTGTTGTTGTTGGTAGATGCCATTGAGTAGATTCCAACTTATAGCAACTTGTTACACAACAGAACGAAACACTGCTTGGTCCTCAGCATCCTTAGAGTTGTTGCTATAGTTGAGCCCATTGTTACTGCCATTGGTTCAGTCCATCTCCTTGGGTATTTTCCTCTTTTTCATTGACCCTCCACTTTACCAAGCATGATGTCCTTCTCCAGGGACTGATCTCTCCTATCAACATGTCCAAAGCCAGAAAGTGAAGCTTGCCATCCTTGCTTCTAAGGAGTATTCTGGCTGTATGTCTTCCAACACAGATTTGTTTGTTCTTCTAGTAGTCCATGGTACTTTCAATATAATTTGCTATACCATAAAGCAAATGCTTCCATTCTTCTACAGTTTCCTTATTCATTGCTCAGCTTTCACATGCATATGAGGTCATTGAAAATACCAAGGCTTGGGTTAGGTGCACCTTCTCCTCATACTGACTTCTTTGCTTTTTAAAAGAGGTCTTTTGCAGCAGATTTGCTAGCATCCTATGTCATTTGATTGCTTGACTGCTACTTCCATGAGTGTTGATTGTGGGTCCAAGCAAATTAAGTCTTTGACACCATCAATCTTTTCTCCATTTATCATGATGTTATTTATTGGTCCTGTTGTGAGGGGTTTTGTTTTTGTACATCCAGCTACAGCTTTTACTTGAGTGCAATATATAGTACATAAAATATACAAAATTGTGTTAATTTACTCTTATTGTTACAGTAAGACGAATGGTCAAAAGTAGGCTATTAATAGTTAAGTTTTGGGGGAGTCAAAAGTTATACCCAGATTTTTTACTGTACAGGGGTAGGAAAAGTGAAGAAGCAGTCTGTATTTTACAGTGTTACTTTTATTTCATAATATACGAATCGGGCTGCGAACCTTAAGGTCAGCGGTTCGAAACTACCAGCTGCTCCGCGGGAGAAAGATGAGGCTTTCTACTCCCGTAAAGATTTACACC